ATTGCTGGTTTGAAGTAGAGTATTTATCCCATTTTTTTATGTTTTTGATTACCTTAGATGAAAACTTTAAATGAACCTCAGCCTCATCTGCTAGGCTCTTCTTCAACTGAGCCCATGCTTCTCCCAGGGTGCTTAAGAAATACAAAATTGTTACACAGTGAATACAAATATATTACAGTGTCCAGTGTCCAGAAAAGCGCTATATAATTATAATTAATTATTATAGTTATTATTATTATTATTATTATTATTATTATAACCTTCTTTTCATTCAACAAAAAATTAAGAAATCTGACAATGCTATTAATGTCAGAACTGAGAAGCTGGAAGTTAAAAGAACGTAATAATAATTTGACCGAGTAGAGAGACTTGACTGCTATTTCTTTTAATTCACATTATAAGAGTTTAAACCCTGCACATGGAATGTTATGCATGGTCTTCTTAAGGAAGTATCTATGTAAAATTAGTGTCATCTCAACAAATCAGCTGTATTCAGTTTATACTTGAACAAACTACAAGTAAAATTGTTGTGACATTCCCTGGGTTTTGTTTTTCTAAATTGACAGAGCTCCAAAATAAAGAATTCTGAGCTTTGGAAAGTAGAGAGAGGGTAAAGCTATATAAAGTCATGCCCTAAACAAGATGGCCCATTTGTGATTTAAATCTCACAGTTTTTTAAGCATACTTTTACATTTTTATGATTTAATTTTAAAAATGTATTGCACAAGAGCAAATGTCTGGGCAAACTGCGACATTTGTCTTACTGTACATTGGAATATCCCTTAAACATATCTGTGCAGGTATTTGTGGAATGTTTATTTAAACTCAATGATTTGATTTATTTAATCTGAAAGCTTGCCTGGCATTATAAAGAAACGTTTTTTGGGGTGGCTCACAGTGGTTAAACTAAAAGACAGAGCTCCGATTAAAAGGGTAGTTTTTCAGACATCAAATACATTCTTCTGTTGTCTAATTCATCCCAGCACCTGGGCTTGATGCAGAGCATTAAGTATACAGTATATCAACATATTGATTTTATAAATCAGCTTCATCATGTTTTCAAAATTTCTTGCTGTGATTAATCCCTCATACCTCATATTTAGTTAAATTCTGTCTTGCAAAGATTTTTATGTTCAATTAAATATATTCATCTTTCAGATTGAGATACTTCATATTTTAAAATCTAAATTGAACTACAAAGCATTCGAAATAAAAGCAATTAATAACTTCATCAGATAAGTGATGCACAGTGTAAAATTAATTTTCTTCTTTAAATTTTGTTTTCAGGAACCATAAAACTCAAGTATGTGCCCAAAAAGCTAAATCTATGACTGGACTTCGATGTCCAAATCTCAATCTGTATTCATCACTTTTTTATTTTTACATTGTCTCTTTTCAGTTATTTGAATTTGTTATATAAATACTCAAAATGTATATTACAATAATATTAACTACAATTTTGTGTTCTTAAAATTATAACATTCATATCTCTGATTATTGTACATAAAATATAAAAAAA